CCGGAGCTCCACGATTCCCCGTCCGCCGACACGCCGCACATGCCAGGCTCCGAGGCCCACTCCAGATTTCGTAACAAAAGGGAGTGCTGAGTGCTCTGCTCCTCCTCCTCCTCCTCCTCCTCCTCCTCCTCCTCCTCCAGCCGGCTGGCTCGATGGCGTGGCGATTGCATACTCCAGATTTCGTAATAAAGGGAGGGGGGTCTCATTTCGGGGGGGGTCTCTTCCAGGCTATCTTGGAGGGCCTGGGGGGGTCTGGGGACGATGTTTTGGAGGGTTCTCCCACGGGGGGGGGGTCTGAAATGGCTCGTCTTGGAGGGTCCAGACCCCCTCCCTTTTATTATGAAATCTGGAGTACCTGGAGGACGAGACGTTCCAGGAAGCGATGCAGCGCCGCGCGGCAGCAGCTGCGGCGTTCATCAAGGCGGACTCGGCGGAGCGGCTGTGCAGGGCCTTCCTGCACCAGAGGCGCGACACCAACGACGTCGTGAACGTCGGCGAGGACTGCTGGCGTCATCGAGGAGCCAATCTACTTCAGAAGTTACGCTGGAGGGGCCCTGTGACGGTGGCTCTGCGCAAGGAATCGGAGAGCGGCAAGCCCAGGGTGTACTGGATCACGCATGGTGGGAGCCTGTTGCGGTGCATCCCGAACCAGATCAGACCCCTCGTGGAGCGGATCGGCGAGCCTGCGCCACCAGCGAACCTGCAGCAGGCCCAGGCCACCTCGCCGGGACTGCGACGTGGAGGCATCGTGCAGTTCTTCGATGTCAGCCAGCTGCCTGGCCCTACCGACGAGGAGCGAGCCGACGACCCGATGGGAGAACCCGAGCCGGTTCCACCAGCTGGAGCTGTCCAAGCTTCGACGCCGGAGCAAGCCATGGCAGGTCAGCTCAAGCAGATGCCTCTCCAAGGCTCGGAGCCTCAGGCTGAGCCGCGAACCGTCAGCCACGAGCCGGCAGCCGCAGCGGAGGACCAAACGATCCCATACAACGAAGAACCCGACCTGCAGCAGCAACCAGCCGCGGCGGAATCCCCTGCAGAGAGCCTCGGCTCGACTGGTGGTCGATTCAGCAGCGAGGTTCAGAGAAATGAGAAGGAGCTCGGACGCCGCACAGATGACGCCGATACTTGCGTTCACTGCCTTTCGAGACAGACAAGACAACCGAGCAGGACTATAAGGAGGAGGATGTCATGGTTTTGCATGTGGACGCCCTACCCAGCAGATGGAGCTATGAATTGGAGACTTCGGAGTTCTGCGACGCGACCAGCAAGCTCAGCGAGAATCACATGAACGCTGAGGACAAGGCCAAGTTTGCGGAGGCGAAACGCGCGGAGCTACAGAGCTTGTTCGACAACCAGGTCTGAGAGCAAGCCATGAACGAGGTGACGGACCCCAACAAGGTCCTGCGGGCGCGGTTCCCGTTGAAATGGTCGCGGAACGCAGATGGCAGTTACTGGGCCAAGGCGCAGTTGGTTATCCAAGGACTTCGAGACCCAAACACGATTGCAGGGAAGTTGGGCAAACCTTCACCGACAGTGACCAAACTGAGCAAGACGTCTATTGTGATGTTCGCTCGCATACACGGTTGGACCCTGTTTACCGCCAACGTCAGTGCCGCGTTTCTCCAGGGCAAGCGCTAGGACCACGGTATCTCTGTACTTCTACTGGCGGAGGCGTGCAAGATGCTCGGCTACGGGCCAGGTACTAAGATGAAGCTGCACAAGAGCATGTGCGGCCTGAGCGATGCGCCGAGGCTTAGGTGGGAGGAGGTAACCCTGAAAGGTCTTCAGAATCCCCCCAATATGGGGTCACTAATCATTTTTACGGCGGCCTTATTGAAGGACTGGGGTCCCACCACGAGGGGGTAGCTAATTATGTGTTCCGCGGCACCCGCCGCGCAACAACGACGACGACAGCTACGGCTAACGAGGAAGAGTGAGGAGGAGGAGCAGGAGGAGGAGAAGGTTTTAGGACCAGTCCTATTCACCGCCGAGAGAGCAGGGGGGGGGGTAACCAAAACTAAAGACCTTTAGCGAGCACCGAGCACATGATCGGGTGCGGCTTCGTGATTCATCCGCTGGACCCGTGCCTTTTCCTGAGCTGCCGCGTGGACCAGGGCAAGAACCAAACGGTGCTCGACGGGGCCATCGGGCTTTACGGTGACGACATGCTAGGAGGCGGCATCAACGAGAAGTGCGAGGCCTGCTTCGCCTCAAGGGTCGAGGAGCTCAAGAGAATGTTTGAATTCAGGACGTGCGAGGACACGACCACAGGCGCGCTCAACGTGGCAGGCGACACTTCCATGGATTTCTGCGGTAACCAGCTCATCAAGACAACCTATGGCGTTTACCAGATGAACTGTGGAGCCTGCATCAAGCCGCTCAAGCCGATCACCGTAACGAAGAATCGAGCGAGCGACCACAAGTTGGCCATCACCAAGGGCGATCGCCAGCAGCTACGAGGCTTGATGGGAAGCTTGGCGTGGCCCAGCAACCAGGCGGC